ATTTAGGTCTGTTTTTTTTTTATTCTTCCAAATGTGTACAAAATATAGACTTAATCAGAAAATAGGAGAGTTTAAATTTATACCAGAATAGATCATGCACAAGGGCAAAATAGATAAAAATTCAAAGAAAAAAATGAATAATCTAAACACAGTAAAAATATACAGTAATTCTCTCATAGATCAATCATATGTATTTAGGTCTGTTTTTTTTTTATTCTTCCAAATGTGTACAAAATATAGACTTAATCAGAAAATAGGAGAGTTTAAATTTATACCAGAATAGATCATGTACAAGGGCAAAATAGACAAATTGTAGAAAAGTAGACAAGTCATTTTCATTATAACAACATGCATGTGAGATCAGGGGAAACAGAAGAGGTCGAGTGATCAAGACCCTTACCCAATCTAGTTGTCCACCGTTCAAGTTGTCGCTTAAAGGTCATATACACACGGTAGGAACAATGACACAAAATGAAAACATATACTTCCCAAAGAACCTCATCTTTTTCCAGGAAGAAGAAAGAACCTGAATTAGCACATTAAAGAACAGATCAACTTTGCACAAAACTATATTAATAGATGCAAGAACACCATCCAGTTTAACACAATAAAAAATGACTTACAAAATCTTTACTACCATCAAGAGGCATCTCAAAAAACCATAACAAGAAAACTCTCAGCCAACAAAAGCCCTGAAGATTTTTCATTCACTAAATGAAAACATATACTTCCCAAAGAACCTCATCTTTTTCCAGGAAGAAGAAAGAACCTGAATCAGCATATTAAAGAACAGATCAACTTTGCACAAAACTATACTAATAGATATCTGCAATAACACCATCCAGTTTAACACCAAAAAAATTGACTAACAAAATCTTTACTACCATCAAGAGGCATCTCAACAAACCACAACAAGAAAACTCTCAGCCAACAAATAAATTATGGACACATAATTATCATTTAAATTATACTATTAAAAATTAATTAACAACTTTTCATATGTATTAACATATTATATTTAAAATATTTAAAACCTTATCTAATTCTAAAATATACAAAAATAATTTCTTTTTGTGGTTCAAGACAAACTAATGTCACGAAGTGACTTCCAAGTACTACTTACTTTATCAAGATTGGCTCATGGGAAACTATTAAAACATCTGTACCAACTGCTATCAGTCATAGATTTGCCAAATAAACAAGCAAATACCAAGTGCAAAATTGGGGATGACTTGTACAAAAGGGATAATAAATCGTCACCCAAAACGTTTTCCACGAACAAGAAGGAAAATACCAATAATAATGACAAATATAACTAATATAAAGCACGACAGAATACCAAGTGCAAAATTCTAGCAACATAAAATAAACTTTTTTGACTGGGAATAGCAGAGATACTATTTGACCACAGAAGTTGTAATAACAGCAGGGACATCTCTGTAAAATAATCAAGGGCCCTCAATTACTCCAGTCTGCTCAATCAACTGAAATGCAGTACACAGTCAATTACAGTCCATTCACGTCATAGAAACAACTAAAAGCAAATATCAGAACAACACATCTAACCATTCTCCCATTTTTTCGTGCATGCATAGAGCATATATCAGAAAGAGAAAAAGAATTCAAATTATTGATAAACAATACGGGAAAGTATTCTAATTGTGTGGCCTAGTACTAGAAGATGAGGTAAGTCACACTGGTCTGCATTCTAAAACATGATGTCCCCATTCTTGGTATTTGAATGTTACCCTGCATCCTTCAGCACCTTGCTAAGTGGCAAGATCCTGAAGAAACCAGGTGGCACTTCCATTATCCCCAAAATCATGCCTGAGATCTAAATAGCTCAAAAGATCAAGCGTTCATCACGTGCAGGGTTGGCGAATACCTCCTAAAACAAATCCAAAAAAAAATTAGTCATCCATCAATTGTTAATAAGAACCCAAAAAGAAAATTTTTTCTTGAGAGTCAGAAAATAAAACACAAGAGAGATGAAGATAGCATAAACCACGAGCAACATGATGATCGGGAACTCGCCGAATCTTACATCCTACAATTAAGACACCAATGAACCAATCAACAGAATTTAACCATATTAATCAACACGAATGAAAGAAAGAAAAAAAAAACATAATACCTAAACTGTGTAAACATTTTGCAAGCAAAATCTTAACATAACTTGAAACCTAAGAGGGAAGGTAGTAAAAATTGCACCACTAAATAGAGGCATCTCTGAATAGAGATCTCTGGATATTTATACAATTAATAACAACTTTTTATAAAAAAATTGAACAAAAGCAAAATGAAAAACTTTCAAAAAACCTAATCAAGCATATGTAATCAGTGGCAGAAAGAAGTATACCCGAAAAAAGCGAAAGTGGAGAGACTTAGAGAGAAGTAGAAGTTTCTGAAAGTCTTTTTAACGAGCTGAGGCGCTTTTATGACAAGCTAATATGCGTCTTTTTGACCCCACCTACGTTTGATAAAAAATTTGATATTTAAAAATAAAATATGAATAGAATGAATATGTGAAAAAAAAAAGTTGTTTATATTTATATTTTTTACAAAAATATCATTTAAAAGAAAATTTTTAACCAAACAATAATATTTCAAAAAACAACTACGAAATCAATAATAAAAAATCAAATATTATATGAAAATTTATAATACAAATTGAGAAAGAAAAAATTAATAAATTTAAAAACAATAAAAGGAAGCTATAAATGTAAATATCATGGATGACCGTCTATCGTCATCCAAAGACCACCAGAGAGGAGTCAAGTCGGGCTGCCTTTGCTTCCCCCCATAAAAACAAAATCAACCATTCAACAATTGTTGATAAGTACCTAAAAAAATTTCTTCTAAAGGCAAAAAAAATAGACCGAGAGAGAGAGAATTTGACAGAGTAATAATTTTTATTTGAAAAAAAAAAGAACTATGAAGTTAATAATAAAAAATCAGATATTATTTAAAAGTTTGTAAAAGAAATTGATAAAAAAAAGGAATGAAGCTTTTAAATGTAAACCATGGATGATCACCTATCAAATACCATCCAAAAACAACAAGAGGGGGTCAAGTCGGTTTGCCTTTGCTTTATTGATTACCTGTTCCTTTCCTTTTCAGCAAAAAATTCATCCCCCTATTTTTTATTTGTGAATCCTTCTGTTTTTCCCCCATAAACACAAAATCAATCATTCGATAATTGTTGATAAGTACCCAAAAAAAGTGTTCTTTTTAAGGGGCAAAAAATAGAACATAAGAGAAATAAAAAATTTGACAAAATAATAATTTAAAAAAAATAGACTACGAGATTAATAGTAAAAAATTATATATTAATTGAAAGTTTGTAATAGAAATTGACAAAAAAAATTAATAAATTAAAAAAAAGAAGGAAGCTTTTAAATGTAAATACCATGAACTACGAGATTAATAGTAAAAAATTATATATTAATTGAAAGTTTGTAATAGAAATTGACGAAAGAAAATTAATAAATTAAAAAAAGAAGGAAGCTTTTAAATGTAAATACCATGAACGATCACCTATCAAACGTCATCCAAAAACCACAAGAGGGGGTCAACTCGGGCTGCCTTGGCTTCCTTGGTTACCTGTTTCTTTCTTTTTCATAAAAAAATTCATCACCCTATTTTTCATTTATGTGGATCCCTTTGTTTCCCCCCCCCATAAGCACAAAATCAACTATTCAACAATTGTTGATAAGAACCCAAACAAAAAAAAATTTTAAGGGATAAATAATAGAACAAAAGAGAGAGTGAAAGAAAAATTTATGTGCTTACCACGGATCGGAGCTTTGGGTAACATCCATATAGTTCAGGGGATGGAGGGTGAACTGGTTCAGTTCAAGACCACAAACAAAACCGGTTAGAACCAATCGGTTCAAGCGGAAAAACATGAGAGAAAAATTGCCGCAAGCGGCGGCAAGAGGGCTTGGGTAGCGGCGTTCACTCCACCTCGCCACCGGTCTAGTTCGATTCTCCGCTTCCCCGACCCACACTCACCCATCCATGGCGACACTAGAACCATTCGCGCATCGCAGGCACTCGGCCTCACCACCACATGCTCATGCGGTCGGAACCGCATCCCAACCTTCCCAAGTCGTACATGCATCCACGGCCAAACCCGCTCGGGCGGTCGAAACCGCAACCCAACCTTCCCAAGTCATACATGCATCCACAGCCGAAGCTGCTCAGCCTCACCCCGCACTCGAATTTCGCACGCACACCACCAGTTTCACACGCAATCCCCCGCACGCTCATGCGGTCGGAACTATATCCCAACCTTCCCAAGTCGTAGATGCATCCATGGCCAAAGCTGCTCAGCCTCACTGCATACTAGGCCTCGCCACCTCACGCTCATGCGGTCAAAACCGCATCCCAACCTTCCCAAGTCGTACATGCATCTACGGCGCTCGGATTTTGCACGCACACGACCGGTTTGCGGTTTCCCGTAAGCCCATTCCCACACTCGCACGCAGCGGCAACAGTGCGCATGCGACACCTTCTTCATCTTTCAGTTGTAGCTCAAGCCGCTCACTCTTCTCCGCTCCTTGGCTTGCGGTTTCCGCTGCTTGTATTCCTTTTCTCATGGAGATCGCCACCGTGCGATCTACCTCTACCCACTTCCCGTTCGAGATCGCCACCGTGCAATCTCATTTGAATTCCTTTTCTGTCGAGATGCCACAATGCGATCTCGGCCATCCCCTCTCACCGGCGAGATCGCTATTCCACAGCCTCACCTCTCACAAGTGAGATGAAGAGCCTTAATAAGACTCCTTAAATTGGCCCCTCCACGGCCGTCAGATCTCTACCGCATGATCTTTCTGCTCGTCCCAGGAAACTTTCGTCGTTTCATGTCCGAAAGTGAATCTCGACTGCCCAATCGTTATTCCTCAAATATTGATCATTGGATCAAGGGCTTCATTAAGGCTATTTTGGTCTTTCGATCTTTCCTAAAGTCCTGATCGTTAGATAAGCAATCTAGGCCGTTTGATCACCTTGGGGTGTGGGAAGTCCAACCGTTCATCACTTTTGGGCGGGATTCCATAGCGACCGTTCGATCGCGAATGGGGGGAGTGAATTCCAACCATTTGATAGGACACACGTGAGAGGATCAGGATCGTCCGATCTCCTATCACGTGGATGGCCCCTTAATGCGGATTTCCACACTAGCACTTTCATCCGAAAAATTCATCTCCCTATTTTTAATTTTGGTGAATCCTTCCGCTTTCTCCCATAAATACAAAATCAACCATTCAACACTTGTTGATAAGCACCCAAAAGAATTGTTTTCTTAAGGAACAGAAAATAGAACAAAAGAGAGAGAGAGAGAGAATTTCATAGAATAATTTAAAAAAAAAAAAACTATAAAGTCAATAATAAAAAATCCAATATTATTTAAAAGTTTGTAAAATAAATTAATAAAAAAAATTAATAAATTAAAAAAAAAAGAAAGAAACTTTTAAATGTAAATACCATGAATGATCACCTATCGAACACCCAAAAACAACAAGAGGGGGTTCAAGTCGCTCTGCCTTTGCTTCATTGATTACCTGTTCCTTTCCTTTTTATCAAAAAATTCATCACCCTATTTTTCATTTCGGTGAATCCTTCTGTTTTTCTACCAAAACATTAATAAATTTTTTAAAAAAAAGGAAGAAAGATTTTAAAATTAACCAAGCACCGGCACAAAAAAGAGAGAGATTCTGCCACATTGACAAAGAATAAAACGACAAAGAATAAAACTGTCAGGCAAGGGAAACTGGAAAACAATTGTACCCAAGATTCATAGACATCCAAGGATCTTGCTATAGCACAAACCTGAACAAAACATCAAAATGCAGAAAAGTAAAGATTCCAATCTAGTATCTAGAGTTGTCAGAGAAAGAAATTTGGGAGCATATCTACTGGCCATCACAGAATATTTATGGTACACACAACATTTTCCATACACACAAACACCAAAAGGCTTGCCTTACAGACAGCAACAAACAAACTTTTCAGCCACACCAGATGCAAAATCTAAGCTAATAAACCTGGCAGGACAAAAATCTTGAGTTATACCTAAGGCAACCAAAATGTTCCAAATTTCAAAGACTAGTAAAAAGCACATAACTGGGGATGACTTGTACAGAAGGGATAATAAATCGTCACCCAACAAGTTTTCCACGAACAAGAAGGAAAATACCAATAATAACTTATATAAAACACAGCAGAATACCAAGTGCAAAATTCTAGCAACACAAAAGAAACTTTTTAGACTGGAAATAACTTGGAGATACCATTTGACCACAGAAGTTGTAATAACAGCAGGGACATCTCTGTAAAATAATCAAGGGCCCTCAATTACTCCAGTCTGCTCAATCAACTGAAATGTAGTACACGGTCAATTATAGTCCAATCACGTCATAGAAACAACTAAAGCAAATATCGGAACAACACATCTAACCATTCTCCCCTTTCTTTGTGCATGCATAGAGCATATATCAGAAAGAGAAAAAGAATTCAAATTATTGATAAACAATGCGGGAAAATATTCTAATCGTGTAGCCTAGTACTAGAAGATGAGGTAAGTCACACTGGTCTGTCATCCCATGAAAACGGCTGTTAAAGTAAACAGTAAGAAAAAATCAACCAAAGATGAGAGGAAAAGAAAATCATATAGACATGCGAGGGGGATGCAGGGCCCGGGAAAGAGAGAAGTTCTGAAACTTGAAATTTAGCAAAATGACCCTCTAAAGTATCAGTCAAGAAAAGCAAAAAAGAGAGAATGGGAGGGCAGCAAGGAGCTCTTCTACTTGGTAAAATTGCAAGCAATCAATCACTTTTAAAGTAGAACAAAAAGACAAAGTTCAGAGACTAAACTAATACAGCAAAAAATTAACAAAGCATCAGCACAGAAAGAGAGATATTCTGCCACCTTGACAAAGAAGAAAACTGTCATATGAGGAAAATTGGAGAACAATTGAACCTGAGAGTCATACACATCTAAGGATCCTGCTATATAGCACAAACTTAAACCAAACATTCAGATATTATTTGAAAGTTTGGAATAGAAATTGATAAAAACATTAATAAATTAAAAAAAAAAGGAAGAAAGCTTTTAAATGTAAATACCGTGGATGATCATCTATTAAACACCATCCAAAAACCATCAGAGGAGGGTTAATTCATCAACACTGAAAGAGAGATATTCTGCCACCTTGACAAAAAAGAAAACTGTCAGAGAGGAGAAATTGGAGAACAATTGAACCTGAGAGTCATACACATCTAAGGATCCTGCTATAGCACAAACTTAAACCAAACATTTAGATATTATTTGAAAGTTTGGAATAGAAATTGATAAAAACATTAATAAATTAAAAAAAAAGGAAGAAGGTTTTTAAATATAAATACCGTGGATGATCGTCTATCAAACGCCATCCAAAAACCATCAGAGGGGGGTCAATTCATCAGCACTGAAAGAGAGATATTCTGCCACCTTGACAAAAAAGAAAACTGTCAGAGAGGGGAATTGAAGAACAATTGAACCTGAGAGTCATACACATCTAAGGATCCTGTTATAGCACAAACTTAAACCAAACATTCAGATATTATTTGAAAGTTTGGAATAGAAATTGATAAAAATATTAATAAATTAAAAAAAAATGAAGAAAGCTTTTAAATGTAAATACCGTGGATATCTATCAAACACCATCCAAAAACCAACAAACGGGGAGGTCAATTCATCAGCACAGAAAGAGAGATATTATGCCACCTTGACAAAGAAGAAAACTGTCAGAGAAGAGAAATTGGAGAACAATTGAACCTAAGAGTCATACACATCTAAGGATCATCCATCAAACGCCATCCAAAAACCAAACATTCAGATATTATTTAAAAGTTTGGAATAGAAATTAATAAAAACATTAATAAATTTTAAAAAAAAAAATGAAGAAAGCTTTTAAATGTAAATACCGTGGATGATTATCTATCAAACGCCATCCAAAAACCAACAAAGGGGGGGGTCAATTCATCAGCACAAAAAGAGAGATATTATGCCACCTTGACAAAGAAGAAAACTGTCAGAGAAGGGAAATTGGAGAACAATTGAACCTGAGAGTCATACACATCTAAAAATCATCTATCAAACGCCATTCAAAAACCAACAGAGGGGGGGTCAATTCATCAGCACAGAAAGAGAGATATTCTGCCACCTTGACAAAGAAGAAAACTATCAGAGAAGGAAAATTGGAGAACAATTGAACCCGAGATTATACACATCTAAGGATCCTGCTATAGCACAAACTTGAACCAAACCTTCAGATATTATTTGAAAGTTTGCAACAGAAATTGATAAAAAAATTAATAAATTTAAAAAAGGAAGAAAGCTTTTAAATGGAAATACCGTGGTTGATCATCTATCAAGTGTCAACCAAAAACCACAAAAGCTTTTAATTTTTGTGAATCCTCCGGTTTTATATGTTAAACTAAATAAATTTTGGACTCATAATTATCACCTAAATTATTTTATTACAAATTAATTATAAAGATTTAATGTGTTTTGACATATTTTATTTAAAATATTTAAAATGTTATCTTATTCTAAAATATGCAAACACTTTTTTTTTTTTTTGTGGTTCAAGACAAACTAATGCCATGTGCTGATTTCCAAGTACTACTTACTTTATCAAGATTGGCTTGTTGGCAACTAAACATCTGTAGCAATTACTTTCAGTCGTACATTTACCAAAAAAAACTGCAAGTTTAGTTAATAAGTTTCATTTAACAATTCAAAACAACTTGGTGATGAAGAAGAAAGCATAAATAGATACCGTCAAAAGATTATGTTCTTCTCTGTCTTGTCATCCCATGGAAACAGCCAGTTAAAGTAAACAGTAGGAAAAAATCAACCGAAGACAAAATCCAAAAGCAAGAGGGGGTCTGCCTTTGCTTCATCGATTACCTGTTCCTTTCTTTCAGCAAAAAATTCATCCCCGTATTTTTTATTTCTTTGAATCATTCTGTTTTCTACCATAAACACAAAATCAATCATTCAACAATTGTTGATAAGTACTCAAAAAAAGATTTCTTCTTAAGGGACAGAAAATAGAACATAAGAGACAGATAAAAAATTTGACAGAATAATAATCTAAAAAAAAACAAAGAACTATGAGATTAATAGTAAAAAATTATAAATTAATTGAAAGTTTGCAATAGAAATTGATAAAAAAATTAATAAATTAAAAAAAGAAAGGAAGCTTTTAAATGTAGATACCATGGACGATCATCCATCAAACGCCATCCAAAAACCACCAGAGGAGGTCAACTCGGTCTGCCTTTGCTTCCTTGATTACCTGTTTCTTTCTTTTTCATCAAAAAATTCATCACCCTATTTTTTATTTTGGTGAATCCTTCTGTTTTCCCCATAAGCACAAAATCAACCATTCAACAATTGTTGATAAGAACCCAAAAAAAAATTCTTGTTAAGGGACAGAAAATTGAACAAAAGAGAGAGAGAGAGAAAAATTTATGTGCCCACCGCGGGTGGGAGGTTTGGGTTTCCCGAAACACCCATCTGATTCGCTGTATGAAGGTGAACCGGTTCGGTTCAAGACTACAAACAAAACCGGTTAGGACCGGTCGGTTCAAGCGGAAAAGCAGGAGAGAAAAATTGTTACCGCAAGCGGCGGCGAGGAGGCTTGGTTAGCGGCGTTCACTCCGCCCCGCCACCGGTCTGGTTCGGTTCTCCGCTTGCCCGACCAACACTGACCCACCCGTCGCGGCGCTAGCACGAATCGCGCATCGCAGGCACTCGGCCTCGCCACCACACGCTAATGCGGTTGGAACCGCATCCTAACCTTCCCAAGTCGTACATGCATCCACGGCCGAAGCCGTTCAGCATCACCCCGCGCTCGGATTTCGCACGCACACCACCGGTTTTGCGGCGACAGCGCGCGTGCGACACCTTCTTCATTCTTCGGTCGCGGCTCAAGCCGCTCGTGTCTCCCTCGTTCGCGGCCAAGCCGCTCACTCTTCTCCTCTCCTACGGTTTCCGCCGCAAGTATTTCATTTCTCATGGAGATCGCCACCGTGCGATCTCGTTCGGCTTCCCTTCCGGTCGAGATCGCCACCGTGCGATCTCGGCCAGCCCCTCTCACGGGCCAAATCGCCACCGCGCGATCGCACGGTTTTGCGGTTTCCCGCAAATCCGTTCCCACACTCGCACGCAGCAGCGACAGCGCGCATGCGACACCTTCCTCCTTCGGTCGCGGCTCAAACCGCTCGTCTCTCCCTCGTTCGCGGCCAAGTCACTCACTCTTCTCCCCTCCTTAGCTTGCGGTTTCCGCCGCAAGTCTTCCTTTTCTCATGGAGATCGCCACCGTGCGATCTACCTCTTCCCGATTCCCGTTCGAGATCGCCACTGTGCGATCTCGTTCGGCTTCCCTTCCGCTCGAGATCGCCACCATGCGATCTCTGCCATCCCCTCTCCCGGGCGAGATCGCCAGCCCGCGGCCTGCTCCTCCTTCCCCGCGGGCTCACCTCTCACAAATGAGATGACGAGCCCTAATCGGGCTCCTTAAATTGGCCCTTCCGACAGATCTTTCCACTTTGTCTAGGAGACTTTCCGTCTTTTCATGTCGGAAGTGAATCTCGGCCGGCCCGATCGTGATTCCTTAAGTACTGATCGATGGATCAAGGGTTCATTAAGGGTATTTTCGTCTTTCTACTTTTTCTAAAATTCTGACCGTTGGTAAGCAATCTGGGGCCGTTCGATCAACTTGGGGGTGCAGCAAGGCCAACAGTTCATCGCTTTTGGGCGGGATGCGATAACGATTGTCCGATTGGGAATGGCGGGAGTGAATTTACACTGTTCGATCGGACACACGTGAGAGGACGAGGGTCGTCCGATCGCCAATCACGCGGATGGCCCCTCCATGCGGATTCCCACGCTAGCATTTTAATGCGGATCGCCTATGACACGCGGCTGCCACGCTTTTGAAACCCATTGGGTACACGGACACGTCACCTGCTGCCGTGGCCCGCCTTTCAAATTTGTACACGGCCCGCACTCGCCCAGAAATTCCTTCTTTTTGGTCCCTGGGTCCGATTTTCATTCCCAAAAAGCCCTCAAAAATTCCGTTTTCAATAATTTTTGTCCCTAAAGGTTTTATTTTATATTTCTAAAGTGTTAAAATTATTTTAAATTTTATCAAATTTATTTTCCAATATTTTCTGGAAATAAAACTCAATTAATTAACTAATTAATTCTTAATTCGTTATAAATTTAGTTTAATTAGAAAATTTCTTTATTTTTCCTTCTCCAATTTATTTCTATTTTTTCTAAATTTTATCTATAATTTTAATAAATTAGACATTAGTTAAAATATCGATTAGATCATAAAAATTTTTAATATATAATGTAAATTATATTATTAAAAATTAAATAAAATTTTATATATGTATAAATATATTTTATTTAAAATATTATTTAATTCTAAAATATTATGTTGCTGGTAAATTTTTTTCATATAATTTAACTAAATTTTTTTACATTTATACAAAATATAATAAAAATATTACTTTTTATAATTATATAAACTATAATATAAATATTATTTTATATGAATAAAATTATAAAAAATGAAAAATTTATATAAAGTAATAAAAAATTAAATTAAAAATATTGAATCGTTATTTAAGATGATATATGCAGTAAAATCATATCTAATTAAACGTTACTTAGAGGTAACTTCATAATTATTCAACAGCAGAACTAATAAAATATTTCTCCTCCTTTCTGTATTAAAAAGCTCACGGCGTAAAGCCTTCAAAATCAGAGTTAAAGCTTATTCCTTTTCCCTTTCCCTGCTCTTCTCCAATAATGGCCGGTGCTGGTGACGAAGAATGAGTGAGACTGAACGATTCAAGAATGAAGATGGCGATGACAAGAAATAACTGGGTCTTATCAGTCAGTCTGGTTATCAGAGATGCCACGTTGAGAGATTGAAGAAAGAAAACTTTTTCCTATATGCAATTTCACAAGACTAATATTTAAGTTATTGAATGTTATCCTAATATGTATAATGTTAAATGGAACAAACAAGTAGACTGCTCTTTGTTTTTTTCTTTTCTTTTCTTTCTCAGTCATCTCTCTCGTTGGAGCTAGTCTCTTGTGTAACTGGAAAAAAGCCATTCGTGACAGGGAGACTATTTATACTAAGCAAATTCAACATGAATTTTCTCCATGTCTATTAAGATGATCAATGATCCATTTCTCAACCAATATCAAAACATACAACTGAGTAAAATCAATATTGTTTCAACCAAATTCCTACATGAGCTTGCATCAGCTCTCTCCCTCCTTCTATGTGCTCTATGCTTGATCTATCTGATCATTAATTTCTTTCCCCCACATTTGAATCATATCCAATACCCACAGAGATCCTGAACACAACATCATAGACTTGCTCACCTCCTGCTCCGTCTCTTCGATTTCTACCTCACATCGTATCATCTTCAAATCCAACAAATATTCCGAGACTCCGGATGATTGCTCTACAATAGATTTTAGGCACGTTATATTTGTCAGAATACGAGAAAGAAGTTTATCATAGTTCGTTTCTATTGTTAATTCTGAAAACTTTCCAACAATTATGATCATCATTTCGAGGATGATAATGAACTTGGTAATTACCACTGAAAAATCTTTTTTGTTACTGAATTTGACGGAATGCTTGGATTCCTTGAACTTGGGTAGCTTCTTTAGGGAATCAGACAATAGAAGCACCATCTTAACAAGCAAGTGAGAGATTCGAACTCCAAGTTGGACTGCTTTAGAATTGCTCTTCTCTGAAAATTCATAATTTTCCTCAACATTCTTAGAGGAACCTTCTCCACTTTTACTCATCGAAAATTCCTTCCCTTTCTGCACTAGTTCTTGAAAATACGTGCGCAATGTTCCAAAATCGTCATCACTAGTTTCGTCATACACCATCGGACTCTTCATTTTCAAGTCACGTTTTTTATTTTCTGGGATTTCTTGGGGGTTTGATCCGCAGATATCTTGTTTTAGATCTTCCCTGTTAGTGGAAATATCATTAAAATTTTCTGGGTCATCATCAGCACGATCATCTGATGAGTCACGAATCCTCAGTTTTCTGACCAGCCTTCTCCCTGAATCTGCCATTATTTCAGAGTTTTTCTCTGCCGTTTCCTCATCGCTATCTCCTTCATAGCCTTCTTCTTTCTTGAAGCTTTCAACATGGGTCGCCCGATTATCAGATTGATAAAGCCCAGTTCCCGGCTCCGCCCACTGTCGCTTGTCACTGTCTTCTTTTTTCTTGAAGCCTCCGAGCCACCGTTCAACAGATGGATAAGACTCTGTTCCCGCCTCCGGCAACCGTTCTCTGTCATCATCATCTTCTTCCTTGAAGCCTTCGTAATCGCTGATTAACAGATTGGTAATATCCAGTTTCGAACGCCGCTGATCACCAGATTGATAAGCTCCAGTTACCAACTGCGGCGACTGTCGCTTGCCTTCTTTTTTCTTGAAGCCTTCGAGCCAATGTTCAACAGATGGATAAGACTCTGTTCCCACTTCCAGCAACCGTTCTCTGTCATCATCATCTTCTTCCTTGGAGCCTTCGTAATCGCTGATCAGCAGATTGGTAATATCCAGTTTCGAACTCCGCCGATTACCAGATTGATCAGATCCAGTTTCCAACTCCGTCGACCATTTCTTGCGATCACCTTCTTCTTTCTTCAATCTTTCAGTATCGCTCCTCTGAGCACCAGACTGATAAGACCCAGTTCCCAATCCTGGCGATAGTTTCTTGTCGTCGTCATTTTCTTTCTTGAATCCTTCCGTGTGGCTCGCCCGGTCACCACTTTTACTTCTTTCATTGTACTCTTTATGTGACTCTGGCATCGGAATATTTTCAGCGACTGCAACTGAAACGCATTATTCATCAGCAGCCTCGGCCACTATATCGTGTGCTTTTAATATAGAAAGGAGTATTTGGCGCCAAGGCAAGATAGAACCGTTATTTTTATTGGTTGGTTGGTTGAGGAATTTATAAAGTTACCTCTTGGTGACATTTAATTGAATAAGCGGCTGTGATAATGTAATAAAATATTTTGTTGTGAAAGTCAGACTAAAAATCAATCGAACTTAATGGATTGTCAAATTAATGATTTTTTTTTGGGGCTAATCTAAAGATTTTTTAAGGAGAAATTTATAATATAAATAAAATATTTTTTAGATAATATCATTAAATACCACAATCTAATTTAAATTCATAATTTTTTATTAAAAAAAATGAGATATCAAGCATTCAGCTAATTAATAGTTTATTAAAACAGAATTAAATACTGTTGGTTGAATAAATTATTAAGGTATAAAGTAAATATATATTCAGTTGTAAAGAGTAAAAAAAAAATGAAAATTTTGAAGGGTAAATCGGACTAATCTTAATTTTTTTATATTTTAGATAAACTCTGTTAATTTTTTAATGTTATTATATTTTAAAATTTACACGATTTCATTTTTATCAAGTATAAAGTAGTAGTGATAAATATTTTCAAAATCACCAAACGATTATTATACTTATTTATTTTTATTTAAGTTAATTCATTTATTATTTTTTATTCAAATAAATTTTGTTCTTTTTACAAATTATTCAAACAACATATATGTAGAGATGTAACTCTCATAATATGCATTTTTATCTATTCAAATATCTATCTTCTATTTTCTAAATCGATACTGAATGTCTTAAATCGGTTACGAGCATGTAATCTAACTATCCTTCTATCGACAATCGCAGAAAGTGTCATTACGAAACCGTCTAAGCTTCTTTTCTACTTCTGCCTAAAAAAAAGAAAAGAAAATAATCAAACAAAATCAATTCAAAATAAATTTCACCAAATAGTTTCTCTACTCTTACCTTTCACCAGAGCCTAACTTTTCCAGTAATAACAAAATTAATAACATAACAATTGTAGGATGAACGCACAGTGTTTACACTCAGTTCTGAGATTTGTGATCTTCCCAAAAATTCAAGAGTTACAGCTGGAATAACTTAAGATGGAAGTTACAAAATTCTTTGCAAGATCAATTTGGTCCGACCATTTTTCTTTTTTGTTTTTGTTTACACAGAAACTGAATCAGACCTGCTGCTCCCAACGGGGTTCTGTTTCCTTTCTGCCTGAAGTGATCGGCACAGAGATTCGAGCTTTTCTTTCTGGTTCTTCATTTTCTCCAGTTGTTTCTTCAATCGCTCGCGCTGCACAATAAGACAATAGAACTGCTTTAACATTTTGGGCAACAAAAAAAATTTCAGGAATTGGAGTTCCCAAGCCGCAAAAATGTTTGATTCATTCTAAATTTGGCCAAAAAATTATAGAATAAACAAATCTAAAGGTGAACCAGCACATTGTTAAATTCTTGTAGCTCATCTATGCTATTGGAGAACTTTATAATTTTGTCATATTTCACAGCAGCTCACAAGGTGAAAGCAATTCATCACTAGAACAACTCTCTCAGGAATCAAACATTTCTTATTGTCATAATCCATGTCATGCATTGACGATCACAAACCCATAACGATGATATCGTTTTGTTTTTATTGTGGTTCAACAATGCAAGAATTGCCAATGGTTCAGATCATGATAAGCATACGACTTCTGTTGCTGAGCACTTCTGATTTGAACCCGTGCCCTACTGAAAATGTCATCTGTGCAAATGCTCGGTGGTATAATCACGATATGACTAATTGTGACAAAATCCAAGCATGTAAGAACTAAAATATGTCGTAATCATGACGATCATACCCCATTATTTGTGCCTTTTCTTGTACTTTTTTTAAAATGATATTTCATTTCAGAAGTATGACAGGATACAGAAAACGGAGAGAAATGGAATGATAAGCTAGAGGCAAAATAGTTTTAGTTACATGAATCTTGTTATAGTATTATCAAATAAACATAAAAAAGATGTTCAGTGTAGAGCACAACTCTATGTTTAAAGAAGCAAGAGATGAATAGTGGGCCTACTTTACCTCCTCAACAAGTTCAATAAGAGTAACATCTGATTTCTCACTTTTGCTCTTCAAGAATGCATTTTCCTTCTTGAGTTCCTTGATTGATTTTGACATCTAGTTCCAATCATAACAGGATATCAAATTACTTCAACATAGCATATCATACAAGTCATTATGGAAGATAATGCGAAATGGAAAAGAACCTTCTCGATCTCTTGCTTGAATGTTGCGAAGACCTCATTGCTTTTTAACAATGCGTCCTACAAAAGAAGCTTATGAATTATTTTAGGAGAATGTACGGGAGATTCATGCACTTATAATGAAAACATGAAAATGTGATTTTTATCGAAGGTTAAACATATTATCTTTATCATAAGGTAAGCATAAATTATTGATTAACTTCCAATCCCATTGCAGTAAATAGTATAAGGCGCACATGAGATGAGTGCCAACACCTAGTAAATGATGCTTCCCACATGCAAGCATAAAAAATCCATGTCAACCTTCACGACTTTTTATGATATTATAATAGAAGACAATCCATAGCATCTTTACCTACCTATACTTGTGCAATTAAAAATATAACAGTGTCAATCTCCAACTAAGGTTTTGTGATACATAACATGGAACCAAGTTTACCTGAAACTGTTGAAACTTCTCGCCATCAGCTGTCAACTGCAGGCGCAAATTCTTTTCAGTAGCCAGCAGCTGCGACACTTGTTCTGCATATAGTTTCATCCGTGATTGTTCCTGCGCCAATTTTTCCTCATGTTGCTTAATCTTCAAATCAGAAAGTTGTAGTTCCAGGGTTTTCTGCTTCAACTGTTAATTCAAATTCCCAACAATTGTAAGGGGCTCAAAGTCATTTTAGGCAAGCATTTTCTTTGAAGCTTCAGAACAATAAGAATAGATGATACCTTCTGAGCATATTGCTGTTCAGAGAGGGCATGCTGATCAAGAAGTTGCTTCAACTTACTTCTCAACCTATCAAAAACTTTAAGTCACAAAAGCAACCACAGAATCTAACAAAAGGATTACCCTTATTCAGTGCCCTACCACACACTAATTGTGAAGCTTTTAATAAAAATGACTTTAACTAGCTCAAAAAGATGAAAACCCAAACATAGATTGCAGAAAAACGATTTGCAAAAATTTTGAGTTATTGCCAGGAAAGAAGATTTATAAACAAGGTTTGCAGGGATGATGTACACTGTTTGAGATCACCTAGAAAGTCTGAATTCAGTGTTCAATAACCTTTTTCAAACAGCAGCAAAGAACACCTCAAAACGAGGTTCTGGGAATATAATCAGAATGCTTCCTAGTGTTGCAAAATTTAGGTCAGGGAAAAAAAGAGAGGTGCCTGAGTTGGAAAAGTAGGGAATGTAGATTCAAGGTTTAAGGTATATGCTAACTATTTTATGATCCCTTAAACTTCTATACGTGACTGAAAAGGAAGCCAAATGAAATGAGTCACTGAAGTGCTTGTGAAGCATGGATGGATAGAAAATAAATAGTTAGGTTGCATTTGCAACCGATAAAATACCTAAACCCCCAGCCTCCCCCATATCTGGTTCAAGAAAATGAAAACCAGAAGGAAAAGATGTTCTTTCTTACCTTTTTTTTCCAATAAATTTGCACATTACTTTGCAATTATATTCTTGGACTGAAACTAGAACTTGGTATGAGTGGTTCATATACTTCCTATACCCTTAGGCTTTAGATTTACCTTACTGATAAACCTCCTACTGGCAGTAAACAAAAGCCACCAACTCAATTTATCATATCTCAAGAGGATGTGAACGTGTGGTTCAGAAATGGCTGAAATAATCTGGATGCCAAAGCCAACAACTCAATTTGCTATATCTCAGGAGGACATGAACGATCATTCTGCTAAGGGAGTGTACAGAGAGAAAGAGTTTCCCATGTCTGTTCTTTTCTCTTCTTTTCTTGAGAAGGAAAACTATCTCCATGTATGTTCATAGGAAGGAAATCCTTCGATGTGGTCTTAGAAGGGGATGTTGAAGAAACTCCCTTACTGAATATAGGGAAGGGGGTCCTTTTCTATCTCTTTGATCTCGAGACTGATTGATTGGTTCCTAAAATCTCTGCGAGTTATTTTGAGTCAGAGGTCACAACTCTTAGATCAGGAATTTTGACGGTGTTCTTAGGATCACTAGTTCTAAAAGGCCCATGCCATCTTGAGGGAGAAACTCTAGGGAACTTAATGGATATTTTGACTAATGCTTCAATGTCAATATCTTCTGAATTCTGACACCCCTTTGGTGCCTTTCT